GCGGCCGGGGCGCAGTGGGCCCCGTTTTGCCTGCTGGATGTCGTCCTCCTGGGTCTCCGGAGCCAGCGACCGTTTCCGAGGCGGGCTTGTTTAGGCGTGACTGGTTCGCGTCTGCAGGCGCAGAAACTCCCGTTTCCCCGGGACCCCGCCGGCCTTCCCCTTGGAGCCCGGGTGCCGCCCCAGGTGCCGTCCCACGTGCAGTCCCAGGAGTCGCAGACCCGCCCCGAGGCGCCCCGCTGGACCCGTTGAGTACGAGCCTCCAAAGGGAAAGACCCGCTGCTGGGTCAGGGTGGCCCCGAGGGCGAGAGCGCGGCGCTCGGTTCTTCCGCAGCTTCTCTGGGGCGGACTTGTCAGCCGACTGGTCGCCGCACTTGCCAGCTTCCCCCTTGCTCTTGCTGGACGCCAGGACGGGCTGCTTCCCTTCCTCCTGTATCTTTCCGGAGTCATCGGAGAAGCAGAGCCTGAAGCCCACGAGCGCTGTGCAAACCCCGGCCCTTGCACTTGGGGCTGGGGGCCTGGGGGCACATGGCTGCATCTCTGTGAGCCCCCGTCTTCTTCATAACAACCCCCACACATCCATCCCCACCGGAGTGTTTTGAGATTTCACAGGATAATCTGTGTGAAAAGGCCCTAAAGACAGCGGAGGGGTGGAGGTGGCTGGTTCTGCTCTTGGATGGATGGAAATTCTGTCCTGAACTCAACAAAATACATGAACGATCTAGATGGGTGAAGGGTGGTGGCGGGGCGGGGGACAGGGACTCCACTTTCCAACTTAAAAAACACCAGGCCGGTCAGCCCGGCCCCTGGCTACTTTCCGCGGGGCGGGCTGGGGTTCTGTGGGAAAGCCGAAGGGGGAGTAGCAGTGAAGCTTGCCGGATTGGCGTCTGCTTTTGTTGGAAACTTGTCAGCACGTCCCACAGTTACCCCCACAAACCACCTGGCCTGGGGGCTCTCGGGCTTCATTCAGCCCTTTGACAGCAGCTAGTCAACCTGTGTTGTTGGCTTGGGTTTGAGGTCAACACAAAGGACAAGATGGCACCCACATCTTTAGGGCCCAAGGCCATCAGGAGAACTGGCCTTAAAGAGGAATTCTCTCAATGGGCTGAAAATATGGCCTGGTTGTTTTTTGTTGTTGTTTTTTATTGTAAGAATATACATAACAGAATTTACCATTTAAAATGTACAATTCAATGGCATTAAGTACATTCACAGTGGTAGGTAACTATACCACTGTTTTCAGGATATTCTTATCATTCCAAATGGAAACTACCTTTTACAGAGAGGAAGGGAGAGCGATAGAGAGTTTGAAACATCGATGAGAGAGAAACATCGATTGGCTGCCTCCTGCACACCCCCTCCTGGGGATGTGCCCGCAACCAAGGTACATGCCCTTGACCAGAATCGAACCTGGGACCCTTCAGTCTGCAGGCCGACACTCTATCCACTGAGCCAAACTGGCCAGGGCGGAAACTACCTTTTAAATAGTATCAGAATCAAACCCCATCCCCCTCTTATCCCAGCCCCTGGCAACCACCATTCTACTTTCTGTGTCTGAATGGGGCTACTTTAGATCTCTTATATAAGTAGAATTCTGTAGCATTTGTCCTTCTTTAGCTGACTTATTTCACTCAGCTCAACGTCTTCAAGGTTCTTCCATGTTGTGCCATGTGTCAGAATTTCATTCCTTTTTAAGGCTGAACAGTATTCCATCGTATGTACAGTTGACCTTTGAACAATGATTAGGGGTGCCTGACCGTCCCCCCCCCCCCCCCAATCAAAAATCTGTGTAGATCTTAAGCCAGCCCTCTGCATACATGGCTTCTCAACTTTGGGTCAAAATACTGTTTTCAATCCAAGGTTTGAATCGAGGGTGGGAAACCTGGGATGCCGAGAGCCGACTATGTATTTATTGAAAAGAAGTCTGCTTATAAGTGGACTCGTGTGGTTCGAGCCTGTGTTCTTCAAGGGCCAACTGTGTATACCACATTTTGTTTATTAATTTGACAGCAGCTTTTGACTGTTGTGAGTAATGAATGAGTCTCTAGTTTTAATTCCTTTGAGTATATACACAGAAGTGGAATTTGGGGATCACATAGCAATTCTGTGTTTAACTTTTTAAGAAACCGCCAGACTGATTTCCATAGCAACCTCCTCGTTTTACATTCCCAGCAGCAGTGCACAAGAATTCCAGTAGTTGATTATGGCCATCCTAATGGGTATGAAATGGCATCACATTGTGATTTTGATTCATGTTTCCCTAATGATGTTGAGCATCTTCTCATGCAATGGTGGCCATTTGTGTATCCTTGGAGAAATGTTTATGTAGCTCTTGCCAATTTTTAAGTTGGGTTTTTGTTGTTGAATTATAGTACTTAATATATTCTGCATATTAACCCCTTTCAGATAGGTGATTTGAAACTATTTTCTCCCATTCCCAAGGTTGTCTTTTCACTTTCCTGATAATGTGCTTTGATGGACAAAGTTTAATTTTCATCAAGTCTAATTTATCTATTTTTTTCTTTTGTTGATTCTGCTTTTGGTGTCAAACCTAATAAACCATTGTCAAATCCAAGATTATGAAGCTTTTCTCCTATGTTTTTTTCTAAGAGTTTTATAGTTTTAGCTTTTGTGTTTAGTACTTTGATCCATTCTGAGTTAATTTTTTTTATATACATATATTTTATTGATTTTTTACAGAGAGGAAGGGAGAGGGATAGAGAGCCAGAAACATCGATGAGAGAGAAACATTGATCAGCTGCCTCCTGCACGCCCCCGACTGGGGATGTGCCCGCAACCAAGGTACATGCCCTTGACCGGAATCGAACCCCGGGCCCTTGAGTCCGCAGGCCGACGCTCTATCCACTGAGCCAAACCGGTTCTGGCATTCTGATTTAATTTTTGACAACACTCCCACCAACTGAGCCACACCGGCCAGGGCTCCTTGGTTAAATTTATTCCTGAATATTTTATCCTTTTTTTTGTGCATTTGTAAATGAGATTGTTTTCTTAAATTTCTTTTCAGATTGTTCATTGTTAGTCTGTAGAATGCAATTGATATTTTTTCTGTTGATTTTGCATTGGAACTTTGCCGAATTCATTTATTAGTTCTAACAGCTTTTGTAGCCTCTTTTAGGTTTTCTGCATATCTTAACTATATACAGACAGTCCTCGGGTTATGTCGGACTCAACGTACGTTGTTTCGTGGTTACATCGCCATCTCATTTATTTATTAAAAAAAAAAAGTTCCGTCATTTCAATGTATGTACATATGTGCTTTATGTTTTTTTATTATTTATTTACCACAAGTAAAGGTCAGGAATTGTTATCTTTCTTTTAAATTTTTTTTACTGTTTCACTTCATTACTGCTGTGTGTGTGCTCCATGGGAGTGACGTAGGTGCTTATGTACGTCGCGCTGTAGGAACGGATCTCTGATGTAACCTGAGGACCTTCTGTATATAAAAGCCTAACGACTGTTACAACGGATGCGCACTGATCACCAGGGAGCAGATGCTCAACATAGGAGCTGCCCCAGCCCGCAGTCCCTGATCACCGATGGGGCCTGCCAGCCAACTTCCCGGTACCTCCCCC